CCCGCGGCAGCGGATCAGCCAGCCAAACAGCGGACCAGCGGATCAGCGGATCAGCGGATCAGCCAGCGGATCAGCGGAGCAGCCAGGGGACCAGCCCGCGGATCAGCGGATCAGCCATGCCGCGGAACAGCGGACCAGCGGATCAGCCAGCGGATCAGCGGATCAGCCAGCGGATCGGCGGATCACCGGATCAGCCAGCGGATCAGCGGATCAGCAGATCACCCCGCGGATCAGCGGATCAGGCAGCCCAGCGATCATAAGTCCATATGTTGGGGATATGTTGGCTATCTTGGGCCTATGTTAGGGATAATTATGTTAGGCAATTTATGTTGAAAAAATCTTCCGATACAACTTTTTACGATTTTCCTTCCCGCAAAGCAAAAACCATGGAAAAACCTACATTTTTTGACATCGCCAAGATGAAATTCTCGGCCGCCGAGGGGCCCAAAACCCTGTGTTTACCGTAAATTACAGCGACTTCAGTGACCCAGAGGTGGGGAGGAAGTGGGAAGGGGGTCCCCCCGTTTTTCGTGGGGGGCCAAGCGTCTACAACCTTCGGTTACCACCGAAGGCCCTCCGGGCACGCCACGGGCTTCCTGGCCGGCGCCCGGATTTTCCAGCCCCAAAATTGAAATTGCAAAACCCCTTTTGCCACTGGATTTCCACTTTGAGGGGCCAGAAGCCTCTCGATCGTGTCTTTTCCAGCAAGCGGCGGCGTGCATCTTGGTAGGACACATAGAAGGTTGCGAGATCTTTGTCCTCCTGGATGGTGTCCATCATGGCATTCTCACACTGCCATACCAACGATGCATCTTCGTCGCCCACGGCCATGGCTTCGAGGGTTTCTTCATCCCATTCTTCTTCGCAGTCCATGAGGTTCTCTTCTTGAGGTTCATCCACATGGTCAACTCCGAAGGTAAGGTGATCATATGTCTTCATGTTCTTGTCCTTCTTCCCGGTGGTGAACTCTTGAAAGAACGTGGAGCCCAACGTACGAATAGCTGCGTTCACCTTTTCAACTTCCAGTTCAGCTCCTGATCTTTCGGCTCCTGATTCCACCAGGACCCTTTTCTTGTCTTCTGGCGTCAATCGACTCCCCTGAAGGGTGATATAGGCCTGGACTTCCTTGAGGTTCTTCTTCATATGGAGCTCTGTCCGAACCACTTCTGTCCTTGCTAGATAGGAGTCGGAGTTCTCGTCCATCTTTTGCTGACAACGAAACAAGGCCTTCTCCTCCACGATGTCGAACTTCCGTTCGAGATTGACCTGCGCCAAACTGTCCTCCTACAGTGTTCACAATCTCCTCAATTCCCTCGCACGTTCCGGTGATCAGCCTTTTCTGCGAAGCTGAAGTTTGCCAAAGCCAGGTCCTTTTGTGAGGATGATGTGGGTGGCCAACTCGTTCAGACGGGTCTCCGGCCATACTGTTGTCAACTCGTCAACAATTCAATCTTTTGGAGTGGTCCCACATTTTGTCCGCTGCTGGATCAAAGGTATATCAAAGAGGCCAAGTTGCCTCCTGAGGTGCCAACGTCCAAGGTGGTAGCTCCTGCCGTTTCAGACCTGTCTTCAGGCATCGCCTTTCGCGCTCTTCAACAACTGGGCTCAATGTAGATGTCCCTGTGTCGATCGCCAGGTAGCTCCGCTACCAGTTAAATCTATGACCCGAAATTGGCAGGGAGACTTCCGAACAGGCGGAATCGACCGTCAAGCAACAAAGTGAATTCAACTGCCAATCCCCGACCAGCCACGCGCAAGCCCTGCTTGCTTTTTTCCACAGAGAACCGGGCTCCAGGGCTCGAAGTGAACATGTGACACGCGTGCTTTGCTTTCACACGCATGCATCTTCACACCTGCGCATCTCTCCTTTTCTCTCTCTCATTCTCTCTTCTCCTCTCATTCTCTCTCCTATCCCTTCCCTTTCCCTTTTCGTTGATAAAAATCTTTCTCTCAGGCTGGGGGCAGCGCCGGTGAGACGCCACGAAAAGCAACCTTTTCGCACTTTTTGCATTACATGTCACGTGCCAGTGGCTGAGTGAAACTTGCGATTCGGTGCGTCGGTGGCAACCCTTTCGCGCGAGACACGTGTCAAGCCTCAAAAACTGCGGGGGTATTGTGATTTCACTTTGTCCACGGCAGCCCTTAGGTAGTTAACTACAAGATGCCACGCGCAAGGGCATTGGGGACAGGGACGCAAACATACACAAACTACAACATGGTAAGGTTCTGGAAGGACGTTAGGGCACGAGTTCTGCAAGTGAGGTCGAAGGCAAATTGGAAAATAAAACAAAAATAAAACAACGACGACCCAATTGTAGAGTGTGTTATTTTGTAGAGCCATTTAAGGTAGCCAGTTAAAGTACAACACAATGAAACTACGGAAAGGGAGATACCAGAAACGTCCCACCGCTACAAAATGGCAAACGGGGCAAACTATCAGAACCGGTGCTAATCAGCACTCGCTATACAACAGGCCATTCTTGGCAAGTTAACCATTTTTGAATGCATCGTGTTGCCGGTCTTGTGCGCATACCTTGTATATAAAAACGCAACGACAATCCTGCATCCCTCTGTCAGGTCCTCCTGCGCAACTTCCTCTATAAAACGCAAAGTTTCCTACAAGATGCAAACCGGTGAGCTCAAAACCACCCGCCTTAAATGGGAATGACCGCATTTGTCTAAAGAATCGCAAGTCTGCAAATCAGCATATTCTGGGCGCGCTCAAATTTCCCCTCTACAAAATGCCAAACCTGGAAACGCAGGGCACTTCGCGATAAAGAATGCCTTATTCCAGTGGTCAAGGCAGCAGGGCCACTTTCGCGTTCGTTCCGGGCTGTTGGAACGGCCTGCAATTCTTTTAGTCGCTGCTGGACTTGGGCAAGGAGGTCATCGCGCCGTCTGGAGCGTTGGCTAGGGGTAACCGGGATCAGTTGCGCCAGAGCGTCATCGGTGTTTCTCTTGGCGCTTCCCCAACCCTGTTGATAGACATCAGCTGCGCAGTCGGCTGTCTGGCGAAGTTGAGGTTTCTACTGTGACCTTCTTAATTCAAGCATGTCGCGGAACTGCTCCTGACACTTCAACCTAACCTGCTTCGCTCCGCCCCTTTGGGGACAGTCATGGTTGCCTTTGATGCGCTGGCCACTCACTCATTGCTGACCCGCATTGTGGGGTATCCACACCGTGCGCGCAAAGACTTGGAGCATTTCTTGCGGTGTTTCCACTTGCTGGCCCGAAGAAAGTGGCAGGCAGCCAAGCTACACCGGCCTTCCCACACTTGATGGAGCTGACATGGTTTTTGTTTCCTCTATCAGCCTCTTGGGCCCCGTTTTTGACAGCAATCTCAGCTTCGCTCCGTCGCTTTAGGAAATCTCTCAGCTGCGCGTCTCATTGCATGATCTAGGTATTGGGCTCCCTCACCATGTTCAGCAGGTGGCCACAAGAGTTGACTCCATGGCGCCGAACCTCTTGCCAGTGCAGCTGCAGGTTGGCCTCAAATTGCAAAACGGCTCAATTCTGTGCACTACACACCCTTTTAAGCAATTTTGGGCATTGAGGGCGCTTGCCTGGGTTCAGGGGTTATGTCCGCATTTAATTTGCTGGCCTTAGGTATTGAATTACGCCTCTCAACTGAGGGCCCGGGGCCCGTTTGCTTAGTTTGCTAAGTAGTAGCGCCACTCCTGGCATCTTGGACGGAGCACGGCAGGCGCCGGATTCCTTGGCTTTGAGGCATTTAGTTGGTATTTGTGAGGGGTGGATCAGCTGCTCCCCACCTTCGGATAAAGACTGCTGTTCTTCCCAGGCTTCTTCTGCATTTTGACCACGATTGGATGGCAATGCAGGAAATGAACCTTTTCCGTGTTTGATGCGGCCTTGGAGAGGGGAGTCCTGGCATTGCTTGCACTGGAGTAGCACGCCGCAACCTCGGGGTTTTCTCTTAGATCTTCACCCCTCCGTCCGGGTTCGGCACAAGTGGGAGATTGCTGCGGGTGTACTTCCTGTTATGTGCCACCCCAGTCGCCCACCTTGAGGGCGTTAGTCCAACACAGCCTAGGTACACGCTAAAACAAGTACGCGGTATGCGGGTATAGATACTTGCGCCGCCCGCGCCGTGCCACATACTGTCAAATGCGGAATGAACAGAAGTCTGAGAGAACTCACACGCAGGGCCTGGCCTTTGCCATGTATTCTGACAAGTCTCTGCCTGCCAAGTCCAACCTCACAGAAACGCTTTGTTGACGGCGTGTCAACCAGAACTTGTGGCCTCTGAATAGCATGGGGAAGAGCAAAGCCTCCCAATGACAGCAATGGAAACGTCCGGCATCATCACACAAACAGGCTCCACTTGAAGCAAATGCTGCGCCTTCGTAAACTGGCACTGTGTGCGTAACTCCATCGCCAGAATCCACCACTGTCCCAGTTGTACGTCCGCATGAGTACAAAGACATTACTGCCTGGAAGTTTCACTAAAGGTTTGCTTGAAAGAAAGTACAATTAACTCATGAAATCTGCAGTGTTCAGAAAATTTCCTCTCCAAAACCAAAGAAATTGTACTGTGGCGGGCCAGGCAACAAATCATGAAACGACTTTCTTTGTGGCGTGTACTGATCTTTCAAAAGGCCTTTGTGGATGACGCGAAGGGAAAGGTGAAGGCGAGGTCCGGGGCAGCCACTGTGGGCCCGAAGCCACTTTGGAAGCTTGGCGGTGCCTTTAACAACTATCAACAACTAAATGGTGTATATTCCTGGGTCTTGGTGACATCTCAAATCTCCGTTGATCCAGATGATGACAGAGTTAGAAAACTGAGTCAGGAAACCAAGGAGCAAAGTCAGGAAACCACGTACGAGTCAGGAATCCGAGCCCGGAAACAGGAATAGTGGAGTCAGGAAACTCATCAGGAGTCCAAAGCGGTGGAGGAAACCTTTGGGTCGAAGTAAACTAGAGTGTGGGAACTTTGCAAATTTGAAACGATGAGTCTGAGGAGGAGAGGGGAGTGAGTCAGGAAACTTCGACGGGAACGAGTCAGGAAACTTGACTGTAAACAAGCAGCAGGTGAGGGAGTGCGGAAAGATTGAAATTTGGAAAAGTATGAATCAGTCGGAGCAGAAGGCTTTTAGTGAGTCAAGTAACATGGGAAACAAAGCAGGAAAATAAGTGTAGAACTGAAAGAAACCGCGATGGAACGCGAAACGCGCGCCCGTTTTCCTAACGCGGACTCGGGCCACTGTCGGGCGTCCATGGAAGTGAGAAAATCTCTAACACTCCACCTTGAACTTGCCGCGTGCTGTAGCTGCAAGTTCACCTTTCGAAGTACAACCGAACGTATCGGTCGAAGTCTTCGTCCCACTCGCCCTTGCAAAAGGTGCCATAATCATGGCGATCATCCAACCCGCAAGGACAATGTGGTCGAATGCCATCTGGGGGTAGGACCGGCTGTAGGTCGAAGCCAATCTGGTCCTCACAAACTCCTTCAGCTGGTGAAAAGTCCAGCTTGGAGTACTCGGCGAGCTCGCTGCCCTTCTTCCACCTTCATGTACTTGAAGAGGTTCTCGAAGTCCCACCAGTCAGCATCGACTGGCGGAGGGTCCAGCACAGACCGGTTGTTTGGGTCTTCTGCTGCTTCATTGTATCCTTCACGACGTGGTGGATCATCCACATCCATGTAGGCCGGTGGTGCTGCATCATTCTCAAAGCTGGATCCTTCCGCTCTCAAACTTTGGCTTGTAGTACCTGTGGTACCCGCTGACTGCATTGCCCATGATGTACTCTTCGCCACCATCGGCGTCTTCTTCGCTCTGCAGCACTCGGTAGTCTGCCAAAATGCCAGCCATGGGGTCCCAATCAGTGATGATGTGACCTGCTGTTCTTTGTTGTAGATCTTCCATCTCTTTGTCCGGCTCACTTTCATCTTCTTCTTGCGCTTCTGGTTCTGCAGGTTGCTCCACCTGTGGTGCATGCTCCACCTCAGGTGCATGCTCTTCTTGCTCTCTCTCACGCAGCCCTTCTTCTGGTTGATCTTCTTCGTCTGACCGCTGAAGACCTGGAGGTAGGTTTCTACCTCGTCTCACAAGGTTCCATTCTCCACGATTTGCTGCAAGTCTTGCCCTCATGATCATGCCAATCTCTGCAAATTCATCTTGTTGCCTTTGAAACTCCATTGTCTCTTCTTGCCTCAGAAACCGGAGGAATGTCCTGAGGTAAACCGAAAGCTTCACTCGGTACCTGTAGCCCACATACATGCCATAGAGGAACACAAAGGTGGTATAGACACTCAAGTGTAGGGCTCGGCTGGTACCTTCTCGTCAATCACCTCTGTCATTGGCTCTCCTCCAGCTCTATGTTGCAGCAAAAGCAATGTCACTGCTCTCACCACATTTGTGGGAATCTTCAGTCCCCAACTGCTCTTCTCTTCAACCACCGTTTGAATCATCTGCTTCTTCACTTCTTGCATTTGCTTGGCCAACATCTTCTTCTCAAGCTCTTGGCTGAAGGTCTCCTCACCGACTTTGGAAAAGGTTTCCTCTTTGCCTTCTGCGTTCATCTCAGTGATGCCGATGAGGTACATCAAGAATTCACGACGCTGCCTTGACAGCCTCTTGGTTCCAATGTCAGAGACATTGAGGAGAGTAGGAATTGCCTCCATGACCATTGTCTCTTTCTTCACCTCAAGTTGCATCCAGAGGTACTTGCTGTCGATATGTTTCAGTCGGCCCACGCCAAGTCGTTCTGTGAAGGCACGGCATGAGCTGCTATCCGTGATGGCTTTGATCATCACCATCCTGCGGCTCAAAAACTGCCACAAGTCCTTGACCTGGAAAGCTTCAGCCACTCCTCCAGCCGAGGCTAAGAGCTCAGCCTCGCAGGAACTCAAAGCGATGGACTTCTGTGAACGTGACCAGCTTGTAATCAGGCATCCATTCAGAAACATGAAGACCGCGTAATACACTTTTTTTGTGTTCCGGCAACCGGCGCCGGCAACCGGCCGGCAACCGGCACCGGCACCGGCAACCGGCACCGGCAACCGGCCGGCAACCGGCACCGGCCACAGTGTACCGGAACAGCGCACCGGGAATCGGCAACAGGGCCGCGGTAAATGTCAACTCGCCTTGAGTAATCGGACACGGCTGCGCAGCAGCGATCATACCTTTGGACTGTCGTGTGATAGAAAGAGCAAACGCATATGTACAATTAAGACTCAACAAAGAAACAGAAAAGATATAAATAGATACCCAAAGAAAGATAGATAAAGATAGACAGATTAGATTACAATAGATTAAGTGAGATAATGCCAGGTTAGGTTAGATTAGATACGGTTTGATAGTTAGATAGGTAGGTAGGAAGGTAGATAGATAGATAGGTAGATAGATAGATAGATTAGAAAGATTAGATAGATGAAAAAGATTAGATTAGATTAGATTAGATAGATAGATAGAAAGATAGATAGATAGAAAGATAGAAAGATAGATAGACAGATAGATAGATTAGATAGTTTGATTGATTGATTGATTGATTGATTGGTTGATAGTTAGATAGATAGATAGATAGACAGAGAGATAGATAAATAGACAAATAGACAGATAGATAGATAGACAGAGATAGATAGATTAGATAGATAAACAGATAGATAGATAGATAGATAGGTAGATAGATAGATAGATAGGTAGATAGATAGATAGGTAGATAGATAGATAGATAGAGCGAGAGAGAGGTAGATATAGATAGATAGATAGATAGATAGATAGAGAGAGGTAGATAGATAGATAGATAGATAGCTAGATAGATAGATAGACAGACAGACAGAGAGATAGATAGATTAGATTAGATTAGATTAGATGAGATTAGGTTAGCTTAGATTAGACTAGATTAGATTAGATAGATAGATAGATACATAGATAGATAAGATAGATTAGATCAGATTAGATTAGATAAATAGACAGATAGATAGATAGGTAGATATATCGTTGATTGCATGGTTGATTGATTGATAGACAGACAGATAGGGCAAGCAGACAGAGACAGACAGACGGACACCGGCCACAGGCCACCGGCGCAGGCCGACCGGACAGCAAAGGGGCATTGCCCGGCCACCGGCACCGGTGCCGGCCACCCGCGCAGCCACCGGCGCCCGCCGCCTGCCACGGTGGACCGGACCAGCGCACAGTTATTCCGGCGGACACAGACAGACGGACACCGGTCACTGGCACCGGCCACCGGCTCCGACACCGGCCACCGTCTCCGGCACCGGCGCGGGCAGCGGCTGCCGGGCAACGAACGGTGACAGCCACCGGCCACCGGCCACCGGCGCCGGCGCCGGCAGCGGCTGCCGGGCAGCGGTGCCAGCCACCGGCCACCGTCACCGGCATCCGGCACCGGCAGCGGCTGCCGGGCAGCAGTGCCAGCCACCGGCCACCGGCATCCGGCACCGGCAACGACAAAAAAGTATATACTCGAAGACCGAGCTGACACTATGCCTCCTTTTAGCTGCACTGCTCTTGTCACCAGCCCAATCCGAATCCGAGAACACCTCCAGGAAGTCTTTCTCTTCATCTTCCTCCACCTGGCCCACGATCTCTGCCTTCTTGCTGCGAAACTTCGAGTATGGTAGCAGCAAGCCATAGTTCTCAGTTCTCTTGAGGTAGAGGATCACGCGCTTGACTTCCAGTTCTGCTCTCTTGGTCGGCTTGGCCATAAACTGGCTGAGGTTCCGCACAGCATGCTGGATATCAACCCTGTCTTGGCTGATAAAGAGCAGGGTTCCTAAGGCAGAGCGAAACTTGAATTGCTCGTCTCCTTCAAGCATTCCAAATTTTCTTGCGCGCTCTCAGGCGTTGCTTTGCCTGCCCTTCTCTCAAGCTGGTACAGCTCCATCAAGCTTGGGATGTACTTCTCATGGGGCATCACCACCAGACCTTCTTTTGCAAAGAAGTGGCATTTCTTCAAACACCTCACTGCCTCCTCCTCCAACTGCCCATCAACTGGGAGCACGCCAGACTCGCTCAGCACAAACTTCTCCTTCATCACCTGCGGGAGCCATTGCAAGTGCTCCACCTGTCCAGCAATCATCATGTCATCGACATGACAAACAGCTGCAAGCTCACGTTGTTCATGTCGGAAGAGTGCAGGGAGGCTCAGGTGATTTCGAAATCCCCACTCCAACAGATGGTCGGTCAAGAACTCAAACCACTTTGCTGCTGCATCTCGTTGGCCTGGCAGACATTTCGACAGTTTCCAAAACCGTCGTTCTTCTGGAGCTAGGGGTAGCAGTTCTTCAGGTCGCCACCATGGAGGTTGCTCCACCAGTACCAACCTGGTTTGACTGACAAGTAGAAAGGCATCTTTGATGTCAGCAAACATGATCTTCCAACCCATCAGAACATGAGTTGACAAAAGGAGTCTGGTTGCACTCAAGGATGAGGTCGGTGCAAATGTTTTGGAGCTTGAGGCATCTCCTCCG